ATCTATTGAAATCAATTTCCTCTGTTTCTAATTTATTCATCTCTAATTTATTGTAGAAATGAATAATTCTGCTTAATAAATTAATGGAAATGAAATTCGGCATTTTTATTTCGATATCCTTGACCAAAGTATCGATCACGCATTACGCATCTTGACCGAATGACCAATTTTGGAAGTGGGTATTTAAGATAAGAGATAAGAAGAGAGGAAATAGTTTCGTGAGTTTTGTAATATGAGTAATGAATACAATATTTTTATGATCATACTAATTTATTCAAAAAATTAATTTTCATCAGAAAATATGTGCCCATAACTAAATAATAAAAATAACGATTTAACTCAAGGTAGAAGGTTCCTTAGATGATGACACTTTTATCTCACAACGTTAAAATGTCACGTCACATCGATTATCCCTCGGCTGACTAAACAGAGAGATGATACTGACCCTGTTCACTTAATTAGTAAATCAAGGATATTGTACTATAACAGTGATTAATTTAATTTACATGTCTCGAAATAATCCATCAAGTGGATTTCGACAAATTTTCGCATGGAAGAACTTCCATAATATTAATATTAACTACACGATTTATTCACGTACATATGTACAAACTTGCACTCACCATATATATTTATATTGTCTACAAATATCATAAAGTACGTCTCGAATACGCCGATAAGAAGAGAAAACAAGTCTCTTATGATTAAATGGAGACAACGTTAATTATTTAGTTGTACTATGATATACGAAAGTTGTACTACTATGTCCTCGTACGTATGTGCGCGTGGCTTCTAAAAGCATGTCTTATTGTTAGAACTAGAAGTGTGCGAATACCCGAAAATTTAGATCAGGCTCGGCTCAGAAGTTACTTTCAGATTCGAGCGGAATCCTGAAAACTCGTCGAGCACATAAATTTATTCGGATGCCCGAATTTTCAGGTATCCGCACACTCCTACAATTCGAATAATTATAACTGTTTCTTTCTTTGTATACAACAGCATCACAATCACACTTGATTTTACATACGTAGATTCTCTTTAGAAATTATTATTCACATGATTCTGGTATGATATAATATACATACATATATATAACATCGATCGAATTTTTATCTCTCGGTACACACATGTCGCTTGCTCGTGTAACGGCGGTACATACAAATTTGTGAGCACCGTGCGTTAGTTAAGTCTTAAAGCGACCATTCGTTATAAACAATTTTTAATGAATATTCACAACTTTTACAAAAAAGTATCTTTTTTGTAACGAATGTTTTGTATATTATAATTAACTATAACACAAGGAACAATTCGACGAAGATAACGTCGATACAATGCCATCCATTCACGTTCATTGTAACCCTCGGTGAATCGATAATGTTCGCAACAAGTGCATTCAAACGGTGCGGAATCGGACGGACTGCATCAGCCATCTTTTAAGGTACTACAGCTTCTGAAACTCCGTTTATTATCGCATTGCCGTGCGATGTTTAATTCATCCACGGTGGACAGGAAGTCGGTGGCTGATATGTTTGAGAAATTGGCACCTGATAATGCTGAACCATTTGATGATGATGCTGCGGTCGCTGTTGATGATGCGGCGGCGGCGGCGGCGGTGGATTACAAATGGATTGCATCAATGGATGTGAATTATAAGGGGGAGGTTTTGTTGTATACGGTGGCATTTGGTTATACTCGATATTCAATGGGTGCTCCAATATCGCACTTTGTACGGGCGAACGATTACCTTCAACGTGCCCTAAATAATCACGGAAACATTCATTCGTTACATTACATTGCCCATTACATGAGATTAAAAGTAAAGAAAATGAAATTAAAAGCTTGAACAGTATTACAAAGAAATAAAAATGGAAAACGAATAATCATTTCCACATCTAATCGATTAACAATAACGCTTCGGAAACCTCATCAACCATATAATCTTAAAATTATTTTGAAATATTTATTACAAATCACAATCATAGTAGAATCGAGTCGCAATTATTTGCATTCTATTTATAACTATAATGTACAATCTCTAAATATCTATTTTCACCTGTCGTCATTTACTGTGTATACCTCTGGGTCTAATTTGAGGTGGTGGCATATTAGTCGGAGGTAGTGAGGGATACATTCCAGGATACTCTCCTTCTCTCATCATCGGTGGTGGCCTACCCCATGGAACTCTAACATGATGAGCTTGCCATGGTGCCTGCGGTGGAAGCGGAGGAGGTAGAGGAGGACCTCCGGGATGCACGTTCACCGAATCTCTCATCGGATTCTGGTCATTTCCTATTACATAAATATTAAGGCGTGTAAAGCGAAAAAATATTTATTCGCACGCCGAGAAAAAACGAAAATAAATGAACTGTACCTGAATTTATGCCTCCAGATTTCTGGTCCAAGCTGCGTTTTTCACCTAAATAATGGAAATTCATGTAGTGACATACAATATGATATACGAAATGTTATAGAACAATCATACTTAAAGTACATTGTAAAATTAAATATGGCATATAACGTAATGAAATATTGTATAATAACTAACATTTTGTTGAATTAAAGATAAATTTATGATTGCATTATTCATTCGTTTTAAGTATCTTTTTCTACCAATTCTTATTCGGTACAAGGAAACAATATTTCACGACATTAACCACTTTTATCTAAGAAAAATGTTGATTATAATGCTAAAATTTAAAATACATAGTTAGTACGTCCGTGGCATCGCTAGTGACCTTAAGGGTAGTGCAAACTCTTCTCTGCGCTGTCTCAATATTCTGCGATCTGTAAAATAAATCTGTATCATCAAAGATTTATTTTTCATTTGTACTATCCGAGGTCGATTTATTATGATCATTCCTGGATTCACTGCAAAATAAACTGTAAAATTAATTCGATGCAGTAACTCGATAAGACCCAACTGTGTACCTTACATGTGTAAAATAATAAGAGTTACATTCAATAATTTGTAAAAGAAGAATCATCAATTTCATTACAACTATACGCTGGTACCCCAGAGGTCTGATCCAAAGTAACATACCCTTGGTACTTCAACTTGTTAAACTTAACATACTCGCATGAAAGCATAGAATACATTTCAACAGAATACGAACGATAATAATTATAGTTAATCCTATAATTACTCAAATGAACCACCGAAATGTAAAATCGCTTCGTTGTACAATCTGAAAACACATGTGGTTTAATAAAAAAAATATGGGAAGAAGCATTCAAATTAGGATGCTTAACTATTTTAATTATGTAATACAGTATTGCGTAAGTTCCGTCACTTCTAAATAATAACAAATAAAGACAAATCGGAAACAATCTAAACTGTAGTATCATGAAGAAGTAGGCATTCCTGACGTCGATCTTCCAAATGTTCGGATGAGTACATGAGAAAGTAAATCGCTAAGTTGTATAGATTAACAGAATAAGAAGAAATTTGTACTGTTTAGCAAAAGAATACATTTACAGTAAGTAATATATTACAAGCTAAGAGTATTAAGAAACAATGCTAAATACCCATCTGAAACGCAAATATACACGCTCTTTGCGAAAACTTTTAATATATCACTTTTTAACATGAAACTAACATCTGTGTTAATTTCCAAAAGGTATCTAGCACTCTTTCACCTTGAATACTCTTAGTTACAGACCTGGATGTTGAGGAGGCATTAGCAGCTTGTTTCGATCTCGATGAGGCAGGCCCGCAGCCGCTGGCGATGGACCGTGTAAGACTTGCTGCTGTCGATCACCTTCTCTGCTTAAACAATTCAGTTTCACATTATTAATTCACTATTGACGTTTACAGATAAACGTTTCAAAACTTAAGCAAATATCACCTGATGCACAGCCACGGAAATTCTGAAATTGTAAAATCACCTGATGCTTCAAGAAAGTAGTTAATGATGAAAAAGCTTTATCACAGTTGTTTTACAACTAAGTAGCACAGAATATTAAGCCAAAATTATGTCCAATCGTTCTATGTGCAATCTGCAAATTGTATTATTTTTTAATTATTTTAATTGTCTTTATATAAATCTTTTTCAACATTAATATTCTGTAAAAAAAAATAATTACATTCACAATCACCTATTTTAAGCATTTTGATTACTCAGATACATCTTTTCACTAATTTCATAATTCTTTTCATAAGTAAGACAGGTGCCTCAAGATAATTTGATTGTGAATATAAAAAGCTTCTCTTATCGAATTATAACTTGTAAGACTAGATATTCCTTACTATAATCATATCGAATATTTGTTTATTCTTTATAGTGGAAAAATCATGAGCAAAAAATAACTAATAAACTTCCTGCTTAGTTATCGAGTTTCATACATCTTGATCAAAGCAGGTTTCTGAAAAAAATTCAATTTTATTGCAACACACGTGTAAAGCTACAACACGAAATAAACTGACTATCTGTAAACTTACAATTTTCATATCTAATTGTAAGCAATAATTTATTAAGCAGCTTTCACGAAACTGAGGATTTAATTACAGTTGGTACTAAACATTAAACGTCTATACTTATAAATACTCCAACAAAGCATGTTCGTCTCGTGTTTTGAATACGTTTAATATCCATTAAACCTGCTTTATTCGCTTAATATAAGTTCGTTTTCTTGCACGTTGCAAGAGAAAAAATTTACCTCATGCAAATAAGTAAAACTGTACTACTATCAGGGCTAGTGAATAATAATTTCAATTATTTCACTCACCCTGTTCCGTGACGTTGAGCAGGTAACGGACCACACTGATAAGGTGATGATTCCTGTTATAGACGACATTAAATACAGTTAAATTTTCGTTACCTTGCAAAATGTTTTGTTAAGCAACGAAAGCATGAGAAACTAACCGGATTCGTTTCAACGTCTGAAAATCTTCTTTTGACACCATGAGACTTTTGTTCTGGTGATTCAGGTTTTTGTTCAAACTGCTGAGGTGGAGGTTGAACTGCATAATGTACCTGAGGTGGCATATGACCATTCTGATACTGCATATGATGAGCATGATATTGTATCTGTGCTTGAACTTGCGGTGGAGGTACATTGTGTAAAGGTATATTCGCTGGTGGCATCTGAACCTGAAAAATTCAAGCTTTGCATTCGTATGAAAATATTAATTATTTAATAAATAAAAATATGTTAATAACAATACCTGCAATTGACCTTGCGATTGCAACATTTGTTGCGGTTGTTGAGCTTGATACAACCATGGCGCGTTTTGCGGAGGAGGTGCTTGCGTCGGCGGTGGAATGCTGGTGAGAACGTTCATAGAATTTGGCATTTGAGGATTGGGTGGTGGTACAATTTGTGGAGGCGGAACTGGTTGCGGTTGCGGTCCTTGATCTACTGGTCCTTCTTGCTGATGATGTTGAACCTCGCCTCCAGGAGGAAGAGGATGTTGTTGAGGATGCTGCGGCGATTGAGCGTTAGGGACTAAAAACGTCTGCGCAGACGGGGGAGGTACTTGTAGCTGAAACTGAGGAGCATGACCTTCAAACTGTGGTGGTAACATGTGCTGAGCCACGGCTTGAGACTGTTCATGATTCTGCTGTAATTGTGGCGGAACTATATGTTCTCCTGGTTGTAACACAAACTGTGTTTGTGATTGTGATGCAGGTGCCTGCACTTGCTGGTATTGTATTTGATAAGTTTGCGGTACCGGAGGAGGCGGTTGATTCGGAGGAAAGTTCGGCGGTGGAAAATGAAGGTGCAGTAACGGCGGCGGCGGTTGTTGAGTTATATTAATAGGAGTAGCCGGTGGTGGTTGTTGTAAGTTCACGTTAACAGCTTCAATTATTCCTTGCGGCGGCGTAGAAGGTCTTTGTACATTTGGTTGCGTATAGACATAAGAAACCGCACCACTGACCGGTGCGCTGCTACTGGTGATGAAGTTTTGTTGAGCTGAACTCTGCGGTGGCGGCTGGCTCATAACATACATCTGGGTCACAGGTTGTGGTGATGATTGTGAACCGGGTTGAATCCCTTGAATTTGTAACGGTTGTCCAGGGTGAATTTGATATTGCACTTGACTCACTGTCGACGGTGGACCAATTAATTGTACTTGTCCAACCGGTGGAGGTGGCATGAATGTTTGTATCTCCTTTAAACGAAACGTTAAACACGATGTTTGGCTACTGATAGCAAAAGTTTTGAGGGATAATTTTAGACGCCAAAATAAGACAAAAATCACGAATAAAAAGAGTTGCGTCTGAACCTCAGTTTATTATAGTTATTACCTGCGCTTGAGGCGATGGTACTAATGGCCCAGAATGAGGTGGAATATGCACTCCAGGTGGTGGAACTGTTATGCCAGACCCAGGTGCTCCAGCCACTGTAGCAGTGAGAATGGTTGCTGGTAATGTTACTACGCTACTTTGAGGATGCTGTATAATATCTGTTGAGAATGGTTTACAATCGTTACACACTGAATTTATAATAACCATGAGCTATTAATGTACGTGCTCTACCTTGATGTTGTATAGTAACAACATTAGGCTGTCCCAAAGTGCCAATGTTCATGGTTTGAAATTGTGCTACAAAAGATGAAAGTCGCAATAAATTAAAATATATAATAGTATGTAAACGGAAACGTTCATAAAATATAAGTAATTCATACTTTGTTGTATTTGCGATTGTTCTATAACTTGCTGTGATTGTACTGGTGGTGGTTGTTGCTGTATGTATGACTGTAGCTCAGATTGCATTGTTTGAATTAAATTAATTGCTAACTGTTTTGCATTCTGTAGTGCTTCTGATTTTGGATGCCTATACAAACGAAAATCACAGTGTATTTCATAAGTATAAACTTAAAATAATCGGAAACCCAAAGTATGGATGATCTTACTCTATATACAAATGAAGTGGTTCTGGAGATTCAGTGCCTAAAACAGGATCAATGAATTGTGATCCCCTACCCCTTAACGTTACGTTTGCACCCGTTTCACCCTTGATGTACAACAAATTAGCTCCGCCTGCACCTATGATCCTACCCCTTAAATCGAACCCTTCTGGCGCATTTTCTATACCAACACAGATCTTTTCCTACAAATATTATATATATTTCAGTAACGAAAAATATATATATAACTGATATACGTTATAGAAAATATCATGTACCACAGATGTTACTGGAGAATGTAAACTCATCAGAGGCGGTGGTGCATTAGTGAATCTGCTTGGCCTGTTTAAAGAACTTTGGTGTTCTGTTTTAATGATCTCATTAATTTTCTGTATAGCCACTGCAAAAAGAAATTGAATGAGTATTTATGTACCATTAATAATACACAGAAATCAAAATGCAAAACATACGGTCTACATTATGTTTTGTATGACCCTGTATGTAAAGATATAAAGGTCGTTCATTGGAACACCTTAGTTTTTCTTGTTCTGTCATAAAACGTCCACGCGTTGAAACAGTTGCACCTACAAGTAATTCAAGATGTAGTAAACATGAGTAATATACTATAGAAAAAAGATAGTGAATGAAACTGATAACATTATAAATTAGATAAATATACCTGAGTAGGAATTAATTTCATCCTGCGTATAACCCTTTGTAAGCAGTGTGCGGGCACTAGGTGGTATTTCATTAATTTCAAACTCTGATGTATAAGTCTCTCCATTTTTAAAAGTTGCGTTGGAAGTCGTTAACTGATAGTTTATTACAAAGAAAAGGATTGATGTAATTAACAATTGATGTAAGTGGTTAATGTATTACCCTATATTTTTTAGTTATATCATGAATATACCTTATTATTTGAGTCTGAACCTCTCAATTTTCCTTTAGCCATAGGGATGAAGTATGAACAGCCTTATTAAATATTTCCTTTTTCATAACGTCAACACGTACGTATGATTAACATCGTCCGAACCTTGTATCACTGTATTAAAAAATAATAGTAAATCAATAATCTTATTTCTATCATAGTATTTTACTCGATAATCGTAAGTAAATCGGATGAATTCTTTAAATTTTAAGGTTATGACTGATAGCAGTAAATCTACAATTAAGCTACCATTGACTTCGTGTTGTCATGTCGTATCTAATCAATGAGTAAAATCTAATTGTGGGTTAAGATTTCATAACAGACGCATGTTCGACATCGATGACAGCAAATTAACTTTAAAATGATTTGGCAAAAACTGACACTACAAATCACTTACACTTTATACACTACTACGTACTGCACTAGTGCATACTACACTATCTTTTTTCCAATACTAATCATAATCATACGTACTACGTAACTACGTACGTACATACATACATACCATGTACCGACTATGAAACACACACAGGATACAGGCGCACGTCCGAAGTCTCTCAGAAATCTCCTCGTCATTGCTGGACGACTCGATAAATAATGTCGCCTATACATATGATTATGGCTGATGGCTAAAGGCTATGCCAAAGAAGTAGAGTTTTCAAACCCATAATTTTATAATTCCCGTAACAAGAAAAATAGAATATTCGAAAGAGTTCGGCTGTAGCATCATGATGTAGTATATACATAGATAACTAAGGATCTATAGTAGTTATCACAGACGAGATATACGTATGGTATATTCATACATTAATCGAGTAAAAGTCGCTCATTGCTCACATGAGCGGTAATTTAAACAAATTTTATATATTGCATTTTACTTTAGACATTTTGTACCTTGCATTTTATGTATATCTTGTACTTTTTTATCATATGTAATAAATTGTAGAGTTAAGGGCGACAGAAGTTTAAATTTCCGCGCCAATGACTCCAATCGTCTCGCACCTCGCTAAGATCGTTAAGTGACTTACACTCATCCGCATTATTTATTATAATATTAGTCCTAATTTGTCTTCCGTGCGGTACGTGCGTTGGTTATGTACGTTGTTATATCTCATAAAACGTCAAGATCAAGTGATTTTCTGCGAAGTAACCGATAGTAAGCGAAGGTAAGTGATAGAAACTAAGTAGTCGTTAAAATTCGTAATGAGAAGTCGCAAGCGAGCGAGTAATTAGATTACACATCTTCGTGACGATAACCCTTATTAATCTTAATATTAGTGTAAATTTTTTATTAGAAATCAGCTTATATTATTAACGCCCGTTAACATGTATGTATATAGGAGTTATTGAAAGAAGCCAGGTCGCTTGAATTTTTCGGGTTACCGGAGACATTCGGTCAAGCTTTCAATCCTTACGCATGTAAAAGGATTCTTGAGCCTCCCGTTACTTTGAAAAATCATGCTGATATTTAGTAACATAAGGATTACAAAATAGATGAAAAATCGTAGTTACAATGCTTTTGCTTTTAATTAATTTTATATTAAAAGCAGATTGTTCTGAATGAAATCAAGATGAGAGCACACCAGATTTAACTTTCGTCTTTTCAAAGAGGTACTTGGCTAGCAAAACACCTTATTATAAAAACGAATAGTGGATTTCCGTAAACCCATATTTTGCATGTTTTTACTACGATTGACGGTAAAAACCGAGATGGAAATGTGAAAAATTTTCTGAAAAATATCAGAAGAGTTACATGACTACTTTTCCTCCTTAAAATCTCCAGTATCTACAAAAAGAGATGCATTGAACATGTCAATTTTTTGCATCATGCAGTTTTAAACGTTTGTATTTTTGACTCGGCGCGACGCGGCAACCTGAGATGCATTCGATCTTCGATGTCAGCAGTTTCGTTCTCCTCTTGTATTATCATTTATTTAAGACCATCAGGCTGGCTTTTTGTTTCAATCGATTCGTATAAAGACGCGAGCTCAGCGTCTTATTCCTTTTTCTCTCTTCTTTCGTATTTTCATTTCGATGGTTGCATATCTTCTTTCCTGGCTGTTTCTAGGTCAGCGGTGTCGCTCAAAGCTAGCCCGTTTCGTTCGAATTACGCGCAAAGGAATCGTCTCATCCACTTGGAACTCATTGCAAATTAATCTGCTTATGTAGCTTAGTCAAACGCATCAACATGCAAGGAATGAAAAAATAATATAAAAGAATTAATCTTAATGGAAATCATTTTAAATCAATGCTCGAAGAAATAAAACACTGAAGAAATCGACTAATTGACTAGTCCTTTGTTCTTCAGTGTTAAACGTTTCTGATGTGAAAATGGCACGTCAGTATTAAGGAATCGTTTACTTGTACTGCTCAGTTAACGTCGTTTTCATTAAAGGACTATGCACTTTCTGCATCTCTTTAATTAAAACTATGAATGCGAGTAAGATGACCGAGTTGTTTTAGAATAGTTGGAATAGCGGACGATCCGGCGCGGCGAAGTGATGGAACCTCGCAAAAAGTTCAATAACCCTAAACAAGTCATGGCGGTTCGCGGTTTTACGCGCAGCTCGCGTGCAAGCGGCGGTGTCCAACGACGAGGGAAAATCCTAGCCAGACGACTGTAAATCTCGGATTACTTAGTATCAAATGAGCCAATCATCATGATTATAGCCTTCAACATGCGAGACTCAGAATTTGCGGTTCCTATGTGCCACATAGATTAACTTATTGTATACTAGCATCCCTCGTCGTTGTTGTAAGAAAAGAAGGAATTTGATCGGAAAAATTTCAAAAAAAGACTGAAATAACATTTACCACGGGACTATAACTTTCGTACTTATTGTCAGTCACCGGGAGTGTATTCAGCGCTCATACGTTCAAGAGAAACGGAGCTATATTTTTGTTATTCATAAATTTCGATGGAAATACTTCAGCTGTTTTTAAGATTTTTGCTAAAACGAGCAAACGCTCTTTATATGTAAAATAGTAAGATTCGTTTTATTTGATAGCAAGATAAATTGAGATTTCTAATTGTCTTTCAAGAATATAGATATAAATAACGATATTCTATACTTTAATATTATTAGATTATTCACTCCAAACAACTGTTTCAGAGCAAATACGAAAGATGATAAAGAATAAAATAATCTAATGTATTACCGAAATTAACAGTTATACGATAACGATTTTTATTGGTATTATGCAGTATTCTTGCTACTTTGCCGAAGCCGTCCAAATGATTAGTGGATCCAGTAATAAACTGCACACGTGGTGGGGGGGAAACTACAGCATGAAAATAATGCCATTTTTCAATGGCGCACGGTTGACCACGCTCGTTACTATTCGCGGGCTAATTCAGTCGCATCGCGGTATCCGCATTGGGACCGATAAGCCAAATAACGATCTGTTAGCTGAAAGGTACATATTTTTAACGAGGTCCGACCCGTAGCTTGCGGATACTTAGATTACTGGCCGATTACAATGGGATCAGGGGAATAATAAATTTGGATCAAGATAACTGAACGGTTAAATGAAATTTTATTGTGCGCTGCTACCGTGAAAATTTCTGGATAATGCAGATAATCCTAAATTTACTCCTTAATAATGTTTTATTTAAAAAAATAGGTATAGTGAAACAGACGATAAATGATCTTCAGTTTTTAGCATTTCAAACAATACAAAGTTTTATGTTACAATAACGCATCTGGTAATTTTATTAGTGGTCCTGATTTAATAGGAATCACTTCTCAAGCTCATTAACGCATCGATTTGAAACGGTTCTCATAATTAGGTAATACATATTGTTTACACGTATAACTCAACCGCCGCACATATGGTCCGTGATCAATAATCGCAACGTGATTGCAACGAATTTTGACTCCCTTCCCGATGCTTATTCACTCCAGAGGTGTGAATAATTGAAACCGGGTAGAATCGCGCTTGAAATCTATATAAATCTAAATTAATAGGTCACGATGCGCGCGCAATAATAGCCGTTATGATACCGGAGAGATTAACGTTGGTGTAATTTACTGTGAGTTACGACAATTTGCAGAGAACATTTGCAATAAAAATAGAAAGATTTGATCGAAGGGTTTTTTTTTATTTAGACTTTATGTAAATGTACTGCAATTACTTACAATGGAATATATATTTATAATTCTTAATGAAACGAGATCAAAAAGTAAAACAATACGTAAAATGGTAACTTTACTACCATAAGTTTTCATTAAAACTGCTTTCTGTTATTATTATGTGCTTTTCATTAGTATAATTTCGTATTATCTAGGTTGAAGTAGTGGTTTCATAAGTATACTACTTGAATTTTGGTTTGGATTACGACATATGTGATATAAATTATAACGAAATTTTAAAGTTTGCGAGTTGTTCACAAGTGCTGTTGAAGGGGCTCGTCGGAGGTCGCGCCGTGCTTACTGTTACTACTTGCGGCTGATATATGGAGCGCTAATTCTACTGTCAGTGTTCGCTTGCTTCTTGTCGCGACAGTCACACATGTTCAAAATTACAGTTACCCACAAAGTATGACGTATAAGTTCGAAAACTTTCTGTATCTAATGTATCCGATTAAAGCGAGGAACTAATTCGCATCCAGNAAAAATTGTTCAATACATATTAAATGCTATGTTTCTGAAATAATTATGGATATTATGTAGATGTATTTATACAGAAATCGCTATTACATTCTTCGTTTATAACATAATTACAAAATTGTAATAACTAAATGTTCATCAAATGACATATCAGTCTATTTTAAAAATATTATTTCTAGCCTCATCTCTGAAGTAAGATTATAATTGGTTTAAATTAAGGAATATCTTAATTAACTCTGAAGAAAGCTTTAACAAATCTTTATACTACTATTATAAAATATTGACAGTGTCAGATAAAATCTTGATAAAGTAAAGTAACAAATGTTCGAATCTGTATTTTGATGAATTGATTCAGCGAAGGTGAATTCCTTTCCCCAAATTGGAAGCCAATTTTATGGGCAATTTTTTTCTTATAACTAACAGACATACCTTGCCATTAAACCGAATTTACCCGACGATCGTAAAGCTATCTGGGTCTTTTCATATTAATTCAGTCGTTCGGGATTACGATCGTATTACTGAATCAGACGGTTTCCCAGATACGTCTGCTGATCGAGCCGGAGAAGAAAGTTTAACATTTTTTGAAGACGTAACTTCCCTTGAACTTTTTATGACGAACAGCGTTGACGGGATTATTGGATCGCATCACAATTGTATCCCTCGACAGTTTACCAACAGCAAGCCTGTTTTTCTGAATACAATTAGGTGAACGGATAAAAATTATGTATGTCGTGAAAAACTGTCTCATCAAGGCTAATTAAAAGTTCTGGAAAAAACATGA